GATTACAGGAGGTCACCCTGCTCCCAACATCCTGTAATATGCATGGAAATCATTTCCGTTAAGAACACATGACAACGAGACTGAAGGAGTCGTGTGTGAAATATTATTTCAGAGCTTCAACGCTGCCAAGGAGCAGCATGCTCGGTTAGACGCTGAAGTCTGGGTTAAAAAACAAAGCATCACTGCTGAAAAGCCGAGCTGCCGGGGGGCACAAATATTCCTAAGTGGCCTGGTAAAAACGGCGGCCGTATATATCCGGCGATGCAGCCGTGGAAGCTGCTCAACTAAAACATTTAATTAGAAGACAGGCCACTAGCTTTTCTGATGTGTTCAGATCCAAACGCTATCATTTAAATACCATCAGCATTCGTGTCTTCATCTTAACCAGCTCGGAGGGAACAGCCATGACACACTTACTGCTAACAGCCGTATTCACAGAATCCCTATCAAAGAATGAACACACAAAACCTTCACTGAGAAACTACATGAAGTTGTTGTGAATGTACATAAAGAATATAACTAGTTAAGCTTTGATTAACAATGATAACATGAGGTTGACATTTAACCCAAAACCTGTTAACACAGTTTTATATATTACAACTTATCTAAAACCTAATGTTGTGATTCGGTCTATAATTTTCAAAGATGCTACTAAACTAAAATAATCTGCCAAAATAAAAGTCCTCATATTTTAAGGGTAAACGACCTCAGTAAAGCTCAAACCTCAGTCAACAGTCAAATTCAATCAGGCTGCACACGCTCATGGACATTAATCCTCTTAATGTGGCTGCTTCTTTTCATCAAGATCAATTTAAAAATAAATTAATTAATTACCTTATTAAAGTGAAAGATCCTTCAGCCAAGTTTCGCAGAAGTTAATTCGGTTGTTTTCTTTTTTTATCTTTCTTACAAACAAACTTTTATTTCCGTGTTTATGTTTGAATGTTTGTAAGATCGAGTTGGGGAGTAATATAAGATATAAAATGTTTGCCACTCAAGGTGAGTTAGTGCATTAAGCCACAGAGCAAGTAGAAAGTGCATATTATTATTACTATTATTATTTCTCATGTGTTTTACATAGACGAGAGGGCAACCCCACAGCAGAAGGTGTTCTCCCACAGGGGTTGTTGGCGCCGAGGCATAAAAATCTGGAGCTTTTATGTAGTGAGACACGGGTCTGATGAATAATTCAGCCCACAATGAATTTTACTTGTACAAGTGAGTTTTATCCAACCATGCAGAATGAGGAATTTAAGTGCAGTCTTATCCCGAAGTGATCTACATCAACATCGTTTCTATTGGATTTGTTGGTCACTGATTCACCAAGATAAATGACACTATTACAACAGGAAAGTCTTCATAAAACATGACGGAGCACTTGTTCAACAGCTGCAGGGTCAAAGGGGAGCACGGTGAGGTGACGTCATGGTGCTGATCTTTTATTTGGTCTTAATTGATGAAAACTTTGTTGTGGAAATATTTCCTGTAACTTACAGTGAGCACTGGCGTACAGCTGCAGATTTGAGTTTTCTTGTGCTTTTGCTTTAAAGAAAAAAAAACAATTATGGCCAAATCTCTGCAAATTGCATCACAATTTCTACCATAAGCTGCTGAAGAAAACCTCCTGTGAAATCCTTGGGGGACTAAGTTATGGTTCATAAGCTTGGCTGTAAAGCTGTTGCCACAGGCGGCTTTTCAGGAGCGGTGAAAATATTACAGTCTGTTTGAGACAAATCATCACATGTACTGTATATGTGCACGTGCAGCAGTTCGCTGGCAAGCACAAAAACAAAACAGAAACCGCTGCAGCTGCTCTATGAATAAATTAATGTATTCCATGAAATTGTCACGTGTGTGATCTGCTTCACAGCAGGGACTTCTATCCTTGTGGTAAATGAGCTGAATGTTAAGTGTACATAGAAACATACTTATCCAGGATTAACAACTGATATCACAGGAGCCTTGTTCTGGGCACAGCGTTTTCATGTATTGTTTATGAGGAATTTTAGAAAAATATCAATGCAATCCTCAAATCTGTGATGCGGATTATATAGAAGAGTTTTAAAGACGAAGGAATGAAGCTACATGTGTTTGTGCTTTGTCTGCAGTGACCGATATATACGCTCGAGCTCACCTCTGTTAGGAGATGAATTTACCTTGAAGCGCAAACGGGCATGAAAGCAGTTGGTCGAGTGTGTGCAGCGTGTGTCACATTAGTCATTCACTGCTCACACCCGTCCTCTGGCTCATATTCTATTCAGCAAGGACCCGGCACAATTATATCAGGGCAGGATTCTCCTTTCAGCCAATGTCAAGGGGCGAAAAATCAATGGCTGCTTATCTTGTCTGCTGAGACACGACTGGAGCAGCAGTGGGGAGTGTGCATTTCCTCCGAGACACTGACACATGGGCGAGCTGGGAGTTTCTGGTCAACGGGATTCACTTACCCCCCCAGCATGGTAGGGCGTAAATGGTTAATACTCACGAGCCACAGGCAACGCTGTCATTCCTGCTCCTTCTCCGAGTCAGAAAGAAAGTCGCGGCGTCGCTGTCAGGCAAATTAGGATGAATCACATGGAGGTGTGGAGAGGGAAGCCATTCCAGCAAATTTGATATGTTGCGGGCCCGGCATTAACAGGAAGTACGCCCGCAGGGGGTTCACAACTTGACAATTAACGGCTTTGCTGGCGTGCCATCCACCAGTCGCTCGCACAAAAGCAGGGATATTTAGAATAATGAGCATCATCTATATGAGCTGTCTTACCTCTGGTTATAATCAGAAACCCACTTGTGCTTCCTCCTACACAGTGTGATCTCAGCGTGCCTCTAACTCGCAGAGTAGCTGAGACCAGACAAACAGCGGCCTCCGGAAAACATCTGTCTAACCTCTGCAGCAGATTTCTTATTCATGCCATTGTTCATCACCGAGCAGTGTTCTGTATCTGCTGAACTTATTTATTTTTTCCACTACTTCAAGATCTGAAGAGGAGATGTTTTCAAAGCAGACAAAGATGAAGAGTAGTCTCCCAAAGTATGTTCAAAGAAATGACATCTACAGTTGCAGCCAATTAAAATTCATGGAACAGTGGTTTAAAAAAAAAAAATCAATGTGAATGATGTGGAGGGCGTCAGCAGGGTGCAGTGAATTTCCTATCCAAGATATTTCTCAGCTATTGAGACGTAACATTAAATATGAAAAACATTATTGTCGCTTCAATTGTTTACACACATCACACATCTGCGCTGATGAGAATCAGAATTTAACAACTGTACATGACAGGGAGACTTGTATTATCTCAGTGTCTCTTATGAAAGCAGTCACACAGAGTTTTCTGAGCTTTAGTAAAGATGTTTTTTGATCGAAAATTCACTGAATGCACATTTTGGATTTTGAACATTAGTATGAAAGGATAAAGTAAAAAAAAGACCTTATATTTTCAGGTGAAAAAGCGGAGTCACGCATGTAGAAGACACCGACAAAGACGTCTAGAGAGTTTGTGTTTGGAGAGTTCGTGGGAATTAGAGCAGACGCCAGTGACTGTGAAAATCAGAGACATGACCTTCGGGTAAAATCCGGAGAAGGAGGAGTTAACCCACAGTTTGTCTTTCACACATGCAGACAGCACAGCGGGACGTAGTCTGTACAGACCTGTTCATTTATTCTAGGAGCTCAGGCAGAGGAAGTCCACAGAAACATGCACCTCCTCCGCAGGAAATATGGAGAAACTGCGGAGTTCATGTCTGAAAGCAGCTTTGATAAGATTAGTGCCAAAACTGCAGGTTGACTCTCTGAGGCTTCTGCTATCAATCGTGGAACATCCACGTATGTATGTGACTCAGTTCACTTGTGGAGAGCATTGTGTCCGTTGTTTCATTTACACACCTCTCTCAAGCAGTGACCCGAGTCTTAGACGTTCCACGAGTGATGACAACCTAGTCAGCGGGCTGTTGATGCAGAGTGACGAGGGTCTGCAGGAGTCCTGACTCCACTGAGCGCCAATCACATGAAGCCAGCAGGAATCCCACCCCCCCGCTGCAGTGAAACTCCACCATGAGTCAGGCAATCACTGCAGGCACAAGCACATCATGGATGTCCGGTGGCAGCGATGAGTTCAAGCGTCAGTGGCTCGACATGGCTGCTATCTGACTACATGCTATGACTCAACTGAATTGACCTATGCACCGGGGGGGCGGCGGCCTCCTCTGTGGCTCCATGCGACCGAGTAACATGATTTGCTCTCGATGATCATTGTGATTTTGGAGACGTCTCAGCCAGACGCTCACTTCTGGCAGGAGTGGAACAAAATCTCTCATTTTTTGACAGTTTTTCAGATAACTTTATAAACCTCTTGCAGCTTCATGCACTTTTTTTTTTTTTTATCATAAGTCCTCTGAGATCTTTTTGAAAAGCATAGTTCATATCAACTCTTACTTTTGTGAATAGTTGACTCACTATGTTTGTGTTGCAGTTGCTCTAACTGTGTTTCCCTGTAAGATGTAGGTGAAATGATCTATTGGCAGAAATAAATATATAATAATCCTAGTGTGTTTCATCCAAATTGTATGAATTGTTGTTTTCTTTACCGTAGAATGAACCCTTTATATTTGAATACTTTATGTTTACATCAGGAGCAGGTCCTCTCTTCGGAGGCAGCCATGTTTTTTTTACAGTAGCCCAGACCTTTTGAGTTTTTATGACAACTGAAGACTACCACAGGCTCTCTGTCATGTTGGGAAGGGGAGGGTGAGGTGAGGGGTATTCAGCTGCAACCTGCCACTTCACCACTAGATGTCACTAAATTCTACACACTGAACTTTTAAGTCATTAATTTTTCTTTGAATAACTTATTGGTGGCTGTTTTTAGTTGAAAATGAAAGCCTGGTCATCACTGTACAGTTTGACAGACTTGTCTGTAAAAATTAATATTATTTTTTCACGTGTTTCACGTGGTGATGTCACTTCCGGTTTAGCTACTTCCGGTTTAGCTACTTCCTGGTTAGAGCTTCCTGGTTCTGCAGTAAAAACCGGACAGACCTGTTGTGCATGTAATCTACGTGCATCCAATCTGAAGCAGAAACAACTGTAAGTTCATTTATTTGACGTTAGACATGTTAAAGATGGTACATTAGTAAAGATTTAATTAAAAATTATGTTTGATGAGTTATTTAAAAACTTTATTTACAATTGTGTACAAACTAACAGCAAAGCTAGCAGCTATAGTAACTGCTACCTACAGTGCAAAACAGAATTGTGTATTTATAACTATGTGCAGTGTGATTTTAACTACGAGCACAGACTCTGAATATTTAGTATTGTTTTATTTACAGTTTTGAGCAGCATGTTAATGAGGAAGTCTCAAAGTAAATGGTCAACTTTACTACGACTCTGTTTTAACTCGGTGTTTAGTCAGTGAGTTGCGACACATCGGATTACAACCAATCTTGTTTCGAAGATGAAACATGGGCCAAGAAAGAAACCATTACACTTCAGTAAAGATGTGTGAATCCAGAGTTCTTTTTTTGGAATCACTTTGCTTAGAGATGCACGAGAGGGGAATGAATCTTGTTTTAATGAAATGGGGAGTGTGGGCCTTTGTGGAGGTGTGTGCTCAGCTGAGTGTCATTCTAGTTTACTTTGTTTTGTTGTTAACCAATTTGCTTCTGTTCATATCATTAATTTGAGCGTTCACATACTTTTTCCAATGAGCACTGAATATTATAACGATGAATTCATTGTGGACAATACAACACATTCATTTGTGTGATTATTACAACTTAGATGATGGTGTGTTTGTGAGTGTGTGTGGGTGTTTGTGAGCATATATACAATAAATACGTACTCAGGACAGTTACGGTTATGTGAAGTGTAAGAGTTGTAGCCGTTATGATGATGGGACACTGGGGGGGGGGGTGCTCTCACACCTTATTCAAGGTTGTATGTGATGGGAATGTGGGACCATCTATTCTGCTCCCAGCAATGTGAGCTGTTCTGTTAAGTTAAACTACAAGGACACGGTAACATGCTGACCCGTGCACATCGTATTTATTAGCCCAATCAATTGTATATGAGACAACAAATAAAGAAAGCTACTGACAGGACGTTGTTAAAAGACAACTGACTCAAGAAATTGAATGTTTTGGTGTTATACAGTGTTTAACTAATTAATCTAGATAAAAAGGTGAAATTTAATTTTAAAAAGAGCCTTTCTGTGTGGAGTTCACATGTTCTCCCCGTGTCTGTTGGTTTTCTCGCTCCAGCTTTCTCCCACAGTCAAAACACAAGCAGATTAATATGAGGTTGAAACTGGAAACTCTAAATAAAGCGTGTGAACGACCTTTAAAAGGATAAGAGGTATACCTACAGAATGATCCCTACACCGTTACACCACCACAACCACCAATGCTGGTTAATGCATTGGCAGGTTGGGTCAATGGCTTCATGCTGTTGATGCCAAAGTCTGACCCTGGCCTTTCCCCTCTGACCTCTCTTAATGACAAAATGTTCATGGTCACAGAGCTTCTGCTCACTGGAAAGTCTAAAGTTTGCTGTGAGTGAAAACCTCAGGGGACCTGCAGCTTCAGAAAAACTCCCATCAGCCCGTCTGGCACTAACAATCATGCCACAGTCATAGGACATCTGCATATTGGCCAAAATGATGATTTGGTCATTTCTCAACCACGCACGCTCTCGCTGACTTTTTCATTAACAGTCAGCCAACATAAGGTGAGACCAAAAAAAAAGATGATTATATGCAAATATAACAGATAGGTCCAGAGACAGATGGTCAGGCAAGAAAAGCGGGGGAGGGATTTCAAAGTCAGCGAGAGGGACGGAGAGAGGTCGGGTCATATCTTTGCACCTCTGGAGTGGATTTTCATGTTTTTCTTAAGAGCCTGCAGAAACGGTATAAAAAGAAAGAAAGAAAGAAAATCCCTCGTCCGTCTGTGAGTTCCTCCTCACAGGTCACAAAGCAATGCAACGTGCTAATCTTCATCAACATTGACGGGTGTGGGGGTATATTTTTATTTGAGGCCAGGACATTTTCTTAAAACTTTAGAGGGGCTGTATTTGAGAAGGGTCTGAGTCAGTTGACACTTTCTGTTTTTGTCTTTAAAACTTCCTGATAAGATTTCAGACTGATCCCATGTGAGTTGATGATGTTTGTGATTGACGCAATATCTCAAGATGGAAGTTAGTTAGAGTTACAAAAAGCTTTTGGGGATAAGGGAAAGTTCTGAAGTCAATTTTCTTGTAAACGGAACCAAAGCCTGAATGTTCCAGACATTTTTCTGCTGATGTGAATGTGTGCAGGGTAAACTCCGGACAATGTCCAGACCTTTTTTAAATTGTTTGGTTAATTGTCTGAAAATAGCTTTAGACACATAACCCACATAACAATCAGATACCACAGTCAGTCGGCCTTCAACTAAAAAAATCCTATTCTTCCCTTCCAGTTCTACTTGATATGCCAACAATGTTATGTTTATGTTTTCACGTGGCACAGCTGACATCCTCTGGGGGGGGGGTTCCACAATATCTCTTCTTGCAACAACACTGAAAACAATGAAGTGTTCTCCGCCTGAAATAGAAACACAGCCAGAAACAGCAGAGCATACAAATGTGTGTGCACTCACTGCAGCTTTCTCGTGTCTTTGTTTATTAAAACTCGATGCCGGCGGAGCACACGCAGATTAAAAGACTAACTCTAACCTGAGGAGACTGGAACCAGAGGTGACAGGAAATATCAGAGAAATAGCAACGACCTCAATGGATAAAAGAGAAAAATCTGAACAATTGATTTTAAAAGTTGAACCACGACGTTTCCAATAGAGACGTCCACAAAGCAACACAACAATCATTACTACCTCCTACCAAAGTGGCTACCTGTCAATATGACTTGTAAAGAGTTCCAGTGAATATCATAGATGCTGTTATTTTTAAAAATGTCTGCACAGATAAAAATCCAGACAAACGATTACCTCTTAGCTGCCACATTTATTTTTAATTCGTTAACATCAAGCCTTTTCTTTTCATCCATTCCATGAATGGATCTTTTTTTTATTGCACGATGAATGTGCCTTTGCAGTTAAGTGTCTGCGCTTCATGTAATATTTAAAGTCTGCCTTAAATGTCTAGGAACAAACAACAGGATTCTACAACCCGAGGTAACAACGCAACAGAAATAACAGGGAAGACTCTGAGGAACAGAGCGAACAGACAGTTTACAGGTTGTTTAGTTGTTAGAAGAAAAATGTCATTGCTTCTAGAACCAGAGCAACTCTTCATTCACAGTTCAGGTCCCAATTCTAAATTCAATCAAATCTGATCATTTTATGTCAGTGAACCAGATCAAGAACAACAGAGTGGCTCAGATCTCTGAATGAAAAAAAATGTACACGTTCACAGTCGAAGTTTTTTGAAAATAAGATAATTACCCACACAAAAAAACAACAGAACCGATTTTTATCAAAGTTTGTGGAACCCATTAATGTAATACATTTGTTCTCTCTCATAATCATTGGGAGATATGGCGTTAACCTCGGTGGGGGTGTTTGTTTGCCGAGCACCTAGTTGAGATGACTGTTCTTGAATCCATGTTTCCAGACGTGTGAAAGTTCTTCGTATTCAGCTCCACTCTGACAGAGGTGTGGTGCTGACGTGCCGCAGGGGGCTGAGGTGTGGTGCTGGCGGGGGAAGTGTGGCTCCTGCCTGCTTGTTGGTTGCATAAAGAGGTCATATATGACTTCAACGTCAGATGTGTTAGTGATGAACTATTTATATGGTCCGGTTTGTTAATGGTATGTCTCCTTCAGTATTTGTCTCCAGGTTACTGTCGCTGTATCTCTGTATATTAAATGTCTGTTATTTTTTTATAGCTCCTGCAGTACAGATAATGTGCATTAAAGAGCCACTCCACCCATTTTAAACCTGATCACCATTGTTCCAGGTTGGATAGTACATGTTTAGTGGTTTCCCAAAGCTTCCCCGTGACTTCCCTGTATTTTAACACTTCTCTGTGGTTTCAGCGTTACGTCCTCACTCTGTAGGTCTGCTTCAAAGCATCGCCGCAGGGCACGTCCAAACTCAACACATGAAACAATCCCTCTGTTGTGCAGTTCTCTGATCTGCAGAAGGGGAAACTGGAGATTACTTTTATCAATATCACATATGATAGGTCTTCAGTTAATATAAATACAGTTTTAGAGGAAAAGAAAGATTTTCAGTCGAAGAAACAAACACAAAATCATCCTTAATTTTAGTTATCAAAATGTATTATATTTAATTTTCTTCATATGGCTTACTGAATATGAGAACTTATACAAAATAGAAATATAATATCTCTCCAGTTCAACTGAGACTCTACCATTGGTCAACAAATAACAGGCCTTGGACTAAATACAAATACATTCACATTTGTCTCATTTCTTTGACAGCTGAATATCAACAAAGCTTATGTAACTCAGAGGAAATATTTATCAACCCTCAGATAAATTGTTAAATAAAAAATAATAATCCCCCATTGGGAAATACTGTAAAAACTGGCCCCTGGTTGAACCTAATCTCTGACCCCTGAAGGGTGAAATGTTTGCCATTATATTGCACTGAGCTTTAAAATGCTCCGATCAGTCTTCATCACATTCTTACATCAAATTTATGGGTTCATAAAAAAATCAGGGACGTCACGCAAGCCAAACATCTATAGAGGGGCGGGCGCAATTAGACTGAGGGGCATGAGTGTCCGTCCCAGAGAAAAATAATGATAATGATCGGTTCTTTTTGCAATTTGAATTACATCTATAGTTTTATTATTTGCAATGTTGTAGTTCTGTAGTCTCCTACTTCATATCAGGGTAAATACTTATGTGTATTCAGTGTATTATCACTTAGAGATTAATAAAAGTATAATTAATTCTCCAAGGAAGAATATCACCTCATGATAACCTAAAATAACCTGCTTTCTCAGTGTGTGTTGTCTTTTTAAAGAATGACATGAATTTCCTCTGCGTCTTGACCTTGAGATACAAGACAGAGTGCAGTATTTTTCTTTAAGCCGAGATAGTTGTCTGTTTGTAAATGGATTG